TTTTTTATAAGGTCAAAGAACGCAGTCAGAGTATGAAAACGTAATAATCAGAAAGAAAAAATTGAAATTATTATAAACCTAACATTACTCAATAAAAAAAAATAAATGCAAGTCCTCATATTTGAAGCAACACTAAACCCGTCGAAAAATGTTCCGTTGTTTTAAGTAGACAATAACCTTACTGATCAAGTAATTAAGTATGACTTTTTGCAAATACAGCTAAAATAACAGTAAAAAAAAAAAGACCATCCCAGTCGACGTTTATCCATTACAGTTGTCATTATTCAAAAACAGTTTAGAGAGAGGAAAAAGTAGGTGACATTTGAAACAGATGATTAATGATGAATTTTGCCCGTCATATTATTTGGACAAATATAACTCACCATTGACAATAAGCGAACAGAAAAATGACGAAAACAGAAAGGCAAAAGAAGGTTAGAAAGAAGAGGAAAAAAGTAACGAAAATGACAAAAGTATTACAACAAGCCATTTGCGCAGTAATAAAATTGAGAATCTGAGGAAAGTAAGATATTAAAAAAAAATACTTTTTCATTGTTTTCCACCTAATCAGTCTATATTCTTTATGCTCTAACTGATATCTGGACAGTTATTAAACATTGTTTAGCAGTTGAGGGAACAGCCGGAAAACCCTAAAAAATGGAAAAAAAAAGAAAGTTAGAAATTGGCAGGGGAAATTTTTAATTGAAAAACATTTATCATTGTGTCTGTTTGAACAAAACCAAATTTTGTTGTCAACCAGCAGCTTTATGTTGACTTATAACGAAAAAAAATTTCATTTCAAGACAGCAAACCTTTGAACAAATATACGAATAAAAATTTTACCATTAACATTTATCATATCACACATATCCATATGCATATCTATGCGTATTTTGTATAGAAATAAGTTTTGTTTAACAGCAACAACAAAACCAATAACCACCAACCAATAATTTGCATAGCGGATATTGGGACCACAGAATAGAAGAAAGCGAGAAAAAAAAACTATTTGTTTCAAGACGTTTCGAACAGCAGATGTTTCCACAAGATATCCTTCAACGCCATTGTGCCTCTCGATACCGTATAAGTTATGCTAACAAATTTTGTTTTTAGATTAAGGAACTGCGGGCAAATTGTTTGGCCACCGTATCAAACAAATCAATCCGCAAACTCTTATATAACACCACTAGTTCAACGAGACTGCTTGAAATAAGCAGTAACTCATGCGGAACAACAAAAAAAAAACAGTAGTGGCAATGATGGTGAACCACGATTATGATGAGGAGAAGGAAAAGAAAGAAGAAAAAGAGGAAGAAGAAGAAGAAGAAGAAGAAGAAGAAGAAGAGGTAGAAGAGGAAGAAGAAGAAGACAAAGAAGAAGAAGAAGAAGAAGGCGAAGGAGAAGTAGATATAACTAAAAAGTCAAACCAGCAAATTCCCTCTAAGCACCTCCTTTTTTCCGCCTTTATCTTTTACCTCTAAAATTTTTGCTCCTTGCTCAAAAAAAGGTAGAAAAAAAATGCATTTTTTTTTCTCCCTCCATTCTTTATTTTTTTTTTTTT